GCAAAGTTATTGTGATAGTACTGCAAAGATGCAAAAGGAATCTAAGGATGATCAGAATCTGACTTTGGTCATTCGACATTAATGTTGTCGAAGATAGAGGGGTCAGACTCAACTTTTTTTAAATAATCTTGAAATGTTTTATTTGTCTAAATAAAACTATAAAAAAGTATGCGTTACATTTGTTTTGTACTACACATAACAAAAATGCTGTCAGGCTCAAGTTCCAATCGGGTTTTAGGTTAGGTTTAGGGTTTTAGAAGCTTAGGGTTATAGTATTGGGTTCAGGGTAGAAAATACCATGATAATTACATGTATTCGGTTAGAGTTAAAATCAGAACAATTATCACCAGAGCCGCAAGTCATTAAATACAATGTACATATTGATTATCGTCCGACATCATACGAATCGTCATTTAGATCGGACTACTAGTATATCTTTATTGACTTTCGACATTGTTGATTTTAACCAGTCACGAGATTGCGAGAACGTTGTGTAACTGAATCACAAAGTTAAATTTGTCAATGATGTAGATATAATTTCCACGTACAGCCTTTTACAACCATTCCATGATTCATATAGGGGAGAGAGAACACAATGGATATGAATGCAATAAATTCCCGTCCCTAAAAAATCATTGACTGATCAATACAAATATTATAAAAGAATAGATTGACTGCATGAAGAAACATACTGAAGGCGTTCAGACTGGACGTGCTCTTTGGAAATTATACGTCATAGTATTATATACCCACGCATGCATGTATGACGCACTCAACCCGAGAACATTCGTGGGTGGGGGAATTGTGACGTGTGCACTTCATTCGAATTCACTGTGCACATTCTAGAATATTGATAAACATGAATATGCATGAATATATTGATGCGGCCTATATCTGAAGCAATCCTACATTTTATTTCAATTGTGATACAAATTCATATTACGTTTATACAAAATAAATCATTATGACGCATTGCCATGTTTGTAATTACGTGGATTATAAATCATTTGATCTTTAATATTGAAATAAAAAATCCCCTTCCTCTGGTCATCCCGTTTTAAATGGAATTACATTATGTAAGATCAGACAACTGTGTTGTCACAAAGTATATGTCGCACAATACATGACTTGTATTCATACAGTGTTGCAATATATATCTGGGGTATTGCGTAACGTTGTATTGAGAAAGTCTGTGCGATCACGTAGTAATCTATACGTTCCATAGAAAATCATTTCACGTGACGATATGCGAGTTAGTATGGTCATACCCCTCTCAAAATAAATCATGACAACAAAATAATCATTCGGTAACAAATAATGATTTCGCCATTGTTATTTAATTTATTTCTCAATATCCAAATACACCTATTATAATTATTATCAATATTTTTGGTAATGATCTTTCGAGTTACTTTGAAAATTTTCCATGCAGAAACAGAGGATTAAAACATCTTTCATACTTTTCCTTTTAAAATAAAGGACTCATGGTGATTCGTTACAATTTTATGCAATTACGTGTAGGTTAGATTATAGAGTTCACTCGACTTTCTGGAAATTAGTATGGGTAGATTTAGATACAAAGGCATTAACAAAAAATCATTTCACTATAGTGTCCCCCGCACCAAGTGAAGGATAATGAACGAACGGAACAAAAACAAAAAACAAACAAACAAAAAACAAAACAAAACAAAACAAATTCATTAATCACAAATAAACATGATTTTTTTTTCTGATTATGATTTTGAATATATACCAAGTAAAAGAAAAATCGTTATAGTCTTCTTGAATTGGTTATCAATGAAAGGTTGTAGGCTATCAGACTGTCAGTAGAAAAGAAAAGAAGAAAAGGATTAAGTGGAAGAAAGTGGATTGTCACAATTATATTTTTTTAAAGTGGGGCGTTACAGCATGAGGAAGGGGCCCTCGGCCAAATATGGAACCAGGAAATTCGAAAAGGGGTTATATTCTGTCAAAGTAACGAGAGAAATTTCGAAATCAAATTACGATCCTAAAATATTCTCTATTCATTTTTTCAATGAATGATGTATTTATGTTTTGTTTGAAAAAATATTTATTTCAAATTGTTTGCCTCATAATCATTAAGCTGCTGCAATTGTTTCTTTCCTTTTCGCGAGAAAATAATTCGGTGGAAATTCAACTGAGTGTCAAATGTACTCGGGGTTTCCGTAAGCTGAAATGGTGATTGATTTAGTTCCATATGGAAATGAAGATGGTAGTATGTACGACTTCATCAGGTTTGTCGTGTACGGACATTAAATTTTGCTTGCATTATCAGAGGAGAATTCCCATAGAAACGGTCAATAGTAATCCGATCCAAGACATCCTGTTTGTCTAAAGCCTGTGGTTGATTAAGAGGGTAAGGCAGCTCTTTGGTTTGCATTCTGGCATTGTCCAACAAGTGTCACTTCAAACTAGCTGAATCATTTTATTTCCCCCACCATTTCTTATCACAAAGTGTCAAACAATTTAGATTACGTATAGGAAGTTTGTGTCTGGTAGTACCATTTCTCGGTATACAAGGACATTTTACGGGAAATGCTACAGAATTCTGTTCGAAGAGAAGCATCATCATCTAGAATGAGCTCAACAGAATTTTAAAAAAAGTACACTCTTTCACCACGGTAGGGCATTCACTTTCTATGATATTGAATTGAATTAAAAAGGTATGTTCCCCTATATCACCCGCCGCCTGCCCGGTCCATTAGTCGAACTCATAAATATATATATCATTGAGATGATTTGGGTTTTTAAGAAAAACAAAACAAATCCTGTATTTGATATCATAACATAATATACGAAGAATACCCTTTGTCTTTTCTCTTCTCGCCTTAATGATGACGATAAAAAGCATTGTAAATGACGAGTGGAATACCAGTTGGAAATAAATACTTCCCTGTTCGTCTATCTTTTAGCATGATGACATTTCGCGAAAGAGCTCGTGTATTCGTTTATAGTTTGAAAAAAAGTAATTCGCTGAAAATCTAATATTCATTTCCTTTCATGCACGTTAAAGATGATAGCATCCATTTCAAAGATTACAAAAACATTACAAGCTAATATTTTCTGATGAAAACTATTGAAATATAGTAAAACACAAACTCCCTACTCCTATCTCATCTCCACCTTCAGCATTCACCTCTCTTCATCTCATTCCATTATGATTGATATCGTCTCTGGTAAAAAATGCAGATAAGTTATTACGCGCCCTATTTCAAGTCCAAAACATACGAATTATGAATATCATTATTACTAAAACTTACAATTTCTATTATTTTCACTACTGCAGTTTAATCGCTTCATAATAATATTGTCTGTATTTCTTACATTTTAATTCATAGCCGCATCCGACTCTCATGTTCTTTCCTTATTTAACTCTCTTGAAATGATGAAAGCCTTCATGACCAAAATGTAAATATCATTACATTATTGTTTACATTTCTAAATGTTTAACCTATTCATTTCTTTTCACACTGTATCTACTTTTTTCTTTCTACTTACGTTCATGTGATTTCATTTCTTGTGTACAATATTATCTGTTACCTTTATTTCCTCTTCCTCTCCAAACAGTCTTGCTTTCATATAGCAGTTTCCTTTAATCGTATAGGTGCACGCGGTAATCTTCCCAAGAATTGATGTCTCTTACTCGAAGATCGACTTTTCAGTATAAATTTGTCAGCGAGTAAAAAAAAAGGAGACCAATTGTTATAGGTCAATAGTTATTTCGTCATCAAAACATACTGGATAAGATATAAAATTATATATTCGTGTTGATGGGTGCCCAGATATCAATGTATTCAAATTTGTCGGGGGGGGGGGGGCACTGACCCCAACCACCCCCGCCCCTGCCGCGTACGTAGGCAATGTGCCTGTCCTCCTATAAAGGCCCGATCCAGGTTTAATTTCTTTGCATATAAATCATGACAGCAATGCATGATCAACCTAATGCTACGGTCACAGAGAACGATAATTTCGTACGAATCTCCCTATTTTTCCATTGTCTTCCCGAATTTCCATTGTCTGAAAATCGTTGGTAATGGCATTTGTGATCGAGGGGCTTTACTAGAAAATTCGATCTTCTGAGCATGCCAGCGTGGCAACAGTACTACCTGAGTGCAGTGTGCACAACTTTATTGATTTTGATAAGAGAAAAATTATAAAAATCGATAGGCATAATGTAAACTTTCATCACACGATGGCAAAGAGGAGAAATCAACTCAAGCTATGTAGACTGCCAGAGAAAAAAAGGACATGATGTAGAAAAGAATAATCAGATGTAATGATGTTGACATCAAGTTTCATCATTATAGTAATTACACCTGGGAAAGTTAATAGACTTTTTTGGGGGTGAAATGTAAGAGGATGATTTTGGCAATGAAAATGTATAACAAGCATTTAGGTTTCCTACACTGTTTTACGATCAAATTTCAAATAAAAAAAAACAGAGGCATATAGATTTACTTTTTTTCTTCTGAATTTTTCCTGCCGTATGCAAAATCAAAACGTTGATAAAGAGTTAGGAACTGATGTTATTTTTTCTTCTTCCTATGATCAGTATTGTAGTATTACTTTGTAGTATAAACTGTGCCTGTGTCTAAATCCCTGTAACATGTCACTAAGTAAGTTTATTGGTCCCTAAATTATTATTTGTTGCATAACAGCTATTGTAGATGATTTATAAAGAATATGAACCAATAGGGTAACCTCTCCCTTCTTCGGGAAATTTTTTCCGTAAGTGTTGCAAGTATGGGGGCATTCTAATGTCAGCTTGTTTGGGCTTGTTCGCGGTCACAAAAAAAAACAATTTAGAAAATATCTCGCTCTGTGCTTTTTTTTGTGTGCATAACGGCCGTATTGGATCTGCTTCAACTAAAAAACGGGGATTCCCCGGAATGCGTCCTCATGATTGGGTGTATGGAACCTCGTGACTTCGTTGCCCAATTGGAAGCCGTAAATGATTTGGGATTCCCCTTTCTTGTCTTTCTGCTATATAACTGGCGACTGGCGACGTGGCGACCATTTTGTAACGACTTCTCCTTCCTTTCAATACAGAATTTACGCAATACCAAGACGTTGGATGTGTGAGATTAATATTTCCAAAGGACTAGTGATTTCATTAAACAGCTGATTAAGTTTTAGTTATACATAGCAGTAAGATATATTTTGTTACTACATTCTAGCAGAAATCTACTGCCACGCCGGCTGACCCTGGGCCTGTCAATTTTCTTATTTGCTGTCGATCCTCACTTTTGTCTTCTGAGTCCGGTTCCTCGACCTTTTCTTGGATCTAAGGAATACCAATTAACTTGGACGACAGCCTTAATTTTGCCTGGAACAATTCTGAGTTTGAATACTACAAAGATGGATGGATTTACATTGGACTCCAATACGGTGAAAGACGGCGCTGAGCCGGCCGTTGCTGTGAATGTTGCAAGTCAGTTCCAGCTCCAGCACAAAATGGGTCAACTAGACCAGGACCGATGCGAATCAACATGCGACTCGGCCTACCTTTCTGAGTGTACCTATAGTTCAGTCTCGGAGAGATTACAAGACCTACGTATCAGTGATGGACAATCTGAAAGTCAAGTGAGCTCATCTTCTGGAAGGATCCAGTTATCAGACTTCAAAGACTCTGTTGAATCAAGAACTGCAAATGATAATGCTAGGCCTCAAAAGAGACCAGCAGAGGAATCGCTGTCAGAGGAGGTTTATCTGACAACTGATGCATATGACCAAGATGAGGAGGGAGACACGTGAGTTTTACTTTATTTCATTTATTTTAAAACTTTTTAAACCTGATCTTTGCAATGTAGATGAAGATATGATATTTATTAACCCTTAATATATATATTTCAATGCTAAATTTGTATCAGCTTTAATCTGTTTGATGTGTATTTTGTGATAAATGATGCATTTGTTTGTTGCGTTGTAACCATTTTTAAAAGATGAAATCTTTTAAATGTTATGTTACTAATTTGTATATGCCATTTGTTTCTCCCGATACAGGCCACTCAGTCAGTCGATCATACATGAGAAAGTGGACATAGCGCTGAAATTTATCAGATACACATCAATGCCAGAATTCTTCAACATCAGAAACTGTCTTGGCCAGGTGAGTTGAAGTTGTAGAAAATAAATGGTTGATTAATGATATTAATTTACAATTTAAAAAAATATATTGATACGATTGTTGTTACAATAGAATATTTCTTGCAAAAGAAGACAGTTTGTAAATTAAAGAAATTACATGTACATGTACCTGTGATTACATGAACAAAGACAAAGTATTTAATTTTATCTTGATTGTTGTTCTTTATTTTCAGACTCCACTCATGCTGGCTGTGCTGACGAACCAACCCAAAGTGTGCAGAGCTCTTGTGGTAGCGGGGGCGTCAGTCGACATTCAGGACCAAGGGGGTAACAGCGCCCTCCACCTGGCCTGCCGCCTCGGCTTCACGGCATGTATCCAGCACCTGACATCCCCGATACAGCCAATCGAGATGAAGAATACCGTGAGTGCAAGGAATTACAGACAAGCCCAGTCACTCACATCGCAACTTGGTCTCAAGAATTATGAAGGTAAGAAACAAGTCATTTTGGATTTTTGTGTGTGTTTACGATGATTCAATTGTGTAACATTGGAGTGGACTTGCTCCCTCTGGGTGGATGGATATTTAGCTGCATTTATAATCACATTGCCTTGTTCTTTACTCATACATTTTCTCTTTTACTGAAATTCCTCCTAATGACAGGGAAAAGGTTGTAAAAAAATAGAAAAAAAAGAATGTCTTATAAATAGGACTTCAGCAGTTGGTTTAATTAATAGGATTTAAATATTTCCTATGGACTTAAGTACCAATTAATGAAGCCTGTTGTTTAAGATTTCATAATTACTGATTTTAATCATTTGGAAAAATATTACATTTATTAGAAAAACATTTATGAAATGTATCATGAATGTACAACCTCAGAAGACAAAAAAAAATCTAGAAGTTTGTAAAAGGGGAATTATCCAAATTATTGCAAAAACAGTTTTTGTCTAGAGGGGAGGAACAAATCTGTAACAAAAAACATCAGGAAAAAAAAAGGTGTGGATAATGTTTCTTGAGTTTAAAAGAAAAAAAAATTCCCACTGGAAATACCCTATTGCATAGAAAAACCACAGTGTGGGACTTTGTGTGTGTGTGCACTGTACCATTGTGTGCTAGCACGAAGAATGACTCTGCCATTTGTCAGCTAAGCTCAGTGTGGGTTGGGCCGAACTTTGAACTTTGTTTCCATGAGCAACCCATTGTAAGCAAATGAAAGGCTTTATTCAAATATGCGTGATGCCTATTCATCACCATACCAAATATGGTGAGCCATAGTGAGACGTGGTGATTTGCATATGGGGATTCCCCGTTGGTTTTTCCCAGATGTGTTGGCTGGTGACTAGTTTAGAGTGATCCGGATTGCATTCTTAATAGTTTGCTTCCCTTTTAAGTGATTCCAGGAAATATTTGAGTGGGTTTATTATTTTTGCAAATTCTCTTCCATTTATTCTTTACTAATTACTATAATGCAATTATTTTTGTTGATGTAGAAATGGAAGTTTATTCTTATATTTCCAATCAGCATGTTTTTCATGTTGAAACTTGAAATCACTTTTGATATTTTATCTTCCTGTTATTATTTTTAGAAACAAATAGTGATAGTGTGGCATAGCAAATGATGAATTGACAAAGTGTTATCCCCTTAAACATTGTAATACAAAACCAGAAATGTTTCTTTTTTTAAAGAGTCAAGGAAATATTTATCATATAGACTAAAGGGTATTACCAGTTAGTGAATATTTCAAAATACTTCCTAATTCATCTTATTTATTTACATATTTTAACAGATTAAGAAAATTTAGTGGGAATTTAAAATGGCTTTCACATACATCTCATTTTTTTGAATTTTTCTTCCTCTGTCCAGGTTTGACATGTGTGCACCTAGCAACACTGAGACGTGACATGAACCTTTTGAAGTACCTTGTCGCAATCGGCGCCAACGTGAACGAGCCCGATGGAAAGAGCGGTCGCACCAGCCTCCACTATGCTGTTGAGATGAATGAATTCCACCTAGTGCAGTGTATCCTCTGTGACCTGGGCGCCGATGTTGATGCTGTGACCTTCGACCTTTGCACACCGCTGCACCTGGCAGCAGGAAGGGGTCATGTAGACATTGCATTCTTGCTCCATGGGGCACGGGCCGACACCCAAGTCCAGAACTTTGAGGGGCAGTGTGCGTACGAGCTGACCCACAACCTCGAACTGAAGGAGTTGCTCTCACAGGGACATCAGTACGAAACAACCAACTATTTCTACTGAACAATGAACATATCTCTCACTTCCCCATTCTGGGTTGAGTGCTAGATGAAGAAAAACTAAGAAACTGTCTCCACAAGAGGAGATGTTGCTGGCTGGCATCTCCTGTTTGGGGAAGGAGCTTGCATGCTGCTTTAACAGAGCAAAGCTACCAATGACATTGTCATACTACATGGCAGGGAAGTGAGGAAACGGAAAAGGGGCAAGAGTTGAGGCTATTGCAGCAGAATAGCAGTGAAAAGAAAAGATAACGAAATCCAGCCTTTAGATATTATCGTAAAAGGTTGGGTGGAGTTTGCAGTTGAGTGAAGTTCTGATTACAGAGATGCAGATAGTCTATTTGATGCTTGACTGTTTTAAGGATCTATACATAACACACATGCTATTGATGTTAGATGCATTGCCTTTGTTATGTTTTCGTACACCATGTACCAAATACTTTTTGCATACATGTGTAATTACAGTTGCAGATATATAGGCATACATGTATATGCAGACTCAACTCATGTTGGTTAGGAATTCAAATTTTCCGTGATGGTATAGATATGAAATGAGAGACAGACCAGAATAATGAAGGTCTCATAGTCTCATTAATGAATATCACATGCATTAATGAATGAATATTCATACTAGAAGAGCAAGAGTTTTTGTTGGTGGAATTGTTCGAAGCTGAACAGATTTTAGGTCATTTTGCAAAAAGAAAAAAAATCTGGCATGATCTTTACATATTTCATATATTAGAATGAGAACATGGATACAAATGTAAAATCTTTGAAACATAAATAAATAGATGCTATTTCAAGGGAAGAGCTGTTGTAGCTAAGCCACAAAGCCATACTTTTTTTCTTTCCAAATATCAATTGTCAAACACACTGAGCACATTAACTGAAGAAAAAAAAATGTCCTTAAGATCGTTGTATAGTTTTGTGTAAATCATGTATATAATAAAATGTACATAATATGTTCATATTTGCTGTTCACAGATGCATATCAGTCATGTATTCAGTATCATCTAAATTTGCTGTTTGTTCATTTTCTGTCTTTTTGATGAAAGGATACATGAATTTAGGTTTTGATCATAGACACAGAAATGCCACAAAGTCTTTTAAGCAAAGCTGTTAAATTATAAATGTCTCTGAAGCATATCAATAACTGTAAATAGAACTAATACAATCTGTGGGAAATAGAAGTATTACACTCAGGAATGTGGTTTTCTTTCATGAAGAAAAAGAAAGGAAAAAAGAAGATTGGGCAGAATAAACACGAACTACACAAAAAAATGATTGTACACTAACTGCTTTTTTTAATCTCCAAATTTTGGGAAATTGGGAACGATTTTGGAATACTTTACCTCTATTTATCTATACAAATATTTGAATGTATATCGGTCTGTATTTTATCAATTCATATGTACACAAATGATTAAAGCGTTAATAATTTTGTTGTCACTTTATCCTAAATTTGATTTTGTCTTTTCTTTCTCCTTCCTGTGGTGGAAGGTAACAATAAAGAGGAAAAAATTGAAAAAGTAAAATGAAAAAATATTGTTTAATATGTGTATTCTTTTAAATGAGATTGTATATGTGGTAATTGGTGTCACTAGTCCAAGGCAAGTAAATGCTTTGAGATAGAACGGAAAGAAGTGAAAAAAGGTAGCAGTGAGAAACAGAGAGAAAGAAAGAGAGAGAGAGGGGAATAGAGACAGTGAGGGTGGAGGGGGGGGGGGGGTATAATTACATTAGACTTTGGAGAGATTCTAGTTGATAAATTAGAGAGAAAATTGATAAACCGGAGATCAAGAGAGAAAGTATATATATATTAGATAGAGATGAGAGAAATAAGAGGAATATGCAACCCATCGATCCCTACCCCCACCCCCCCAAAAAAAACCCCACAACAACAACAAGGGACTGGTGTGTGATGGGCGAATCTATTTTTTTCCAATCCAGTTATGGGGGGGGGGGGGGGGGGGGTGTGAGGGGGTAATTAAAAAATCGCGCAAGTCTATTATTAGTCCAGAATCTGGCAGGTTGTCTACGATATTGATTCACGCCGCCAAAGAACTCATAATTATGTTCACCAGCCCAGCATGAGACCCATCCATCCTGCTAGCCAGCGTAATGAACACGCCATCTTCGGCTGCATTTTAGCAAGTAAGTAGAGGGAGGTAGCGTTGGTTTGGTGGGGATCAAAATTAAATAGGCCAGATCCTGGACTAGTCTACTACCATATTATGCGTCTTCCCAAACGACACAAAGTGCTGCATGGCTTTGACGAAGGGGCGGGGAAATTTATTGATGTATTTATTTAGTATTCTATTTATTCATTAAGACGTATTAATTCAGGAAAAACTGTTTCCTATCATAATTTTGTTTTTGTGAAATAACCATTTCTGGTCTTCTTCATTTCCTCATAATATAATATTTTTCACATTTTCAGCATTTGCCTCCGTTTCTGGAGGGATATACATGGTTTTCTACTATTTTCTTTTATCTGTAAACGATAATTTAATAGGTAAACCAAATATGAAGAAGTCTCTGTTTTGTTCTTTTCTTTTTAATTTTTGTTTCCAACAAAGCTTTTGTAAATAGTGAAAAGTGCATAATTCAAAAATATGTCAACATCTTTTTCCTTCTTTGAATTAAAATCAATACCAAACAATAGATGACGTGGTTTGAAATTAAAATTAAACATGACATATTTCTTTATATTCTTTTCAACTTCTTTCCAAAACTTAACTCGTTACAAGAAAAGAACATAATTATGCATACAATCACCTGGTTGATTACAATATAATAACATTGCTCATTGGCATTGACTTTCAATTTAAAAAAAATTATTTGGTATTGCCAAAATATTAGAATTTGAAATTGAAATTGATCAGTAAACTGTCTTTTATACATTTTAGCTTAAATATCCAATCATCTGACCATGCATGCAGGTATACTTTCAATTCCTAAAGCATTTCGCCAAAATTCATCTGCTCTAGATTCTTCAATTTTTTTTATTGTAATCAACTCATGATAATTCTTTTAACTGTCAACTGTCTAACTGAAATCATAATTATCCTCAAACAATTTTATATCATTATATACAAAAGCCGTGGATCTAAATTTCATATACTCTCTATGTTCTACATTCGCATTTGCAAGGACTAACATAATTTCCAAGTTATTGAATAAAACTGTAATACAATAATACTTCAAAATATTTAATGCCCGTTATATACTATTATAACAACTTACAATAGCGAAGTGATCATGTTGATATACAGAAAAGTAAAGAGATGAGGATGAGATAACAAAGTAAAACTTGGAAAAAAAGTTTGAACTGAGAGAGAGAGAGAGAGAGAGAGAGAGAGTGAGAGAGAGAGAGAGAGAGAGAGAGAGAGAGAGGGAGGCAGTGTGAAATAAGATAAGATGAAGGGAGTTAGGAAGGACAACTTCATAATTACAAAACACAATATTATTAATCAAGATAATAACATCATATGATTTTTAGCATTATTCTAATGTGAGACGAAAGACGTCATTTTTTCATGCAGTGAGATTAATTACAATGCGAGACTGTTCTTAATTTCAAAGAAAAAGAATGAATGAGATACTGAATATGGTCCTACAGCCAGGGGCGGACTAGCCATTATGAGGAGTCCGGGGAATTTTCTTTACGGGCTGGTCAGTGTTTTGGCTTCTTGGCCAGACGAATTGTGGTATATGAGCCCAGAGCCAATTTATTTTTTAATATAAAAATGAAATAATCAGAAAATGTTCCCCGTCCCGATAAGATAAAGAGATCTAAAATTCGCAGACGATGAAGCAAATTTCAACAAAAAAATGAAAAAAATGATGGATAAGAAGTCGAATATTCAGTAGGCAGCCTTGGACAAAAATAATAATGACACTTGTTATAGTAAAATTATTGTCAGCGGCATCGAAACACACTACATAAAAAAAATATATTTATGAAAAATAATCGGGCACCTCTCTGCTCCATACACTTCATACAATCGCCAGGGGGGGGGGGGTGCTGTTGCCCCTTGAAAATTTATTTATAATAAGAAAGTACAACAAATATCTTTTAGTCAAACAAATTTGCCGGGCAAGTTTGGACAAGGTGTAAATCCCTAGGAAAAGTATCACTTGGTTACCCCCCCCCCCCTCAGTATGAGACGTCATGCATTATATGTCCCTGTTGTTGAAAAATATCCTATATCCTCAAATATGCTGGATGGTGCATTTGCCAATAACTAATCATTAACAAAGATCTCATAGTCGAGATCATACAAATAACATGGCATCCTAGAGGTAGTAAGTGAAACAAATTGTTGGCCTATAATCCCCCCAGAAAGTATACGATAAAGGTCTAAACTATATATAGCATCATATACAAACTATGTAGGGTCTACACAAAGTAGGCCTCCTATGCCTTCCCCTCCCCTTCCCCTCAATCTCTTTGAAAACACTACACCATGATCACTAACACATTATTTTGAGAGGTAAGCATGAGCCCTCTATAGCTCTTTGTGCACACAAATACCGGAAGTAAAAAGCACCCTCTACCATCAAAAGGTGACAACGCGGGAAATCTAACCAGCGAGCGCGAATTTCTATGCAGTGCTTGAGGTACGAGGGCCTTGAGACTCACGGGGCTGCGCTGGGCTAGCTGTCTTGGAAAGTGTGTTAGGTCGATTGGATTGGTTTGCGCCGAGGCTCTTCAATCAGTGACATTTATCGAGGTCGAAATACGGTATTTCGTCTCAGTTTTTCCAACTCATTGTTAAAAAGAAGACACTTATGAGTAACGCTACTATTTCAAGTTTTTTTTAGTCGACTCATAAATTGCAAAGTGTATTTTGTTTCAAATGTTGGAACTTGGTTGGCCGGTGGAGTCGGACTGGAGTTGAGCCCTATTTGAGTTTTAGAATCTCCTTTTGTACTCCTTTTGCAAATTTAGAGCATTATGGCTACTGTCAGTGAAGACGACCTCTCTGAGCAGTTTGAGACGTTTGGAGTAACGTTAGACACCAATGATCCTGACATTGTTGACAAATGTGAGTTTCTTCTGTTTTAAAATTTTCTTTTAATTTTATTTATTTATTTAGTAGACCTAAAACTTATCTAGTTTTCGTCTACCTTTTACCACTGTCATGATCATGACTGCTCTTTACAAATACTCTTTCACCTTATCAAGTTTTGAAATTCCTTTAACTGTAGAATGTGACACAGCCTACCTTCAGAACTGAAAGCTAAAAGTTAAGTGAGTCTGTATACCTACTAGTACTGCACTGTCAGTGACAAGAATTAGATGAGAGGGTCATTTTTTTGTATACTGTACTAAGTAATGTAGGAATTTACATCTCTGGCCTAATTGATTGCATGTTGAGTCGTTATAACCTAAGTACATGTCAGCCTATTGTGCTAGATTGTACATAGAAATGGCAATTATGGTCTATAAACAAACCTAGACTGTTTGATTGAGAGTTAACTTGGTACAGATTAGTCCATCTGTTCTTAATTTCACTTAATTAGACTACCATTTTCGGCTTGCAGTCAGACAGAAAATTCTGCATGGTTGGAGGAGTTTTATAACATCTTTCAACTTACGTTGTTAGGAAACAAAAAACAATAGGAAAAGGGTATCGAGATGGAATTAAAGATCAAGCTGTAGTCTCAGTAGAGGATATTCCAAAACAAACTAAATATATTTTTCTGTCTAGCTTCCACTAAACTACAGTGTGGAAAGTTCATAATACAGGCAAACCTGTCTTTAAGGTTACCCAAGTGAATCTGTAAGTGGTGACTGTAGGCAGGTTCTACAACACATTTCTTTCTTGAAGGAGAAAAAAAATGGCCAATATGGACAAGTGACCTGTGGCTAGTATTGACTTTATATTAATTATAATTTTCTCTTTTTCTCTCTCTTCGACAGTGAAAGAATTATGTTTGTTATACCGCCTGACAGCAGAAGATGCGGTGGCCGAGTGGATTGCGTTCTCTACGACTCACAGCGGACTGGCAATTAACATGGATACGCTGGAGCAGCTGGAAAGAGAGGTTCGGATGCCTGAAGAAGGTTTTGATGCTTAGTTGCAGTAGTAGGCGTATTAGCCCGGGCTAAGTCAAGTCAAGTCAAGTTACTAATCCACTCGTCTACAACGCCTCTATTTGATTAATAGGCTTAAAATGACTAGTGATGAATGAACCATTGAGAAAATAACGTTAAGTGTTGAAAAAATTATCTCCAACATTACACAGGCTGTCAGTTTCTACTTGAGAAAAGTATTTTTTAAAATTCTCTTTGTCAGGATAATCAGAGATTTCAAAATTGTTGCAGCTCAAAAGAATATTATTGGATTGATCTACAACTGCTGTCGTGTAAATTTGAAATATCATTATCAGTTGGATTGACAATTTTCCATTTACAATTTTGGTAAAATCATAGAGGAACAGAATTTTCTTTACATCTGAATGAATCGGCTTGCTTTCAATAACAAAACCAAAAATTAAATGAAAGTGTATGCATGTATAACATACAGGGGAAAACAGATCTAAATGCTGTTTGTATTAATAATTCTGATTCCTGATTCTTTTCTATAACATAGTAGTTAGTATGGACAGTTGTTTTGTTCCAAAATTTATGGATTAAAAAAAAAATAGCAAGTAAAATCTTTAATGCGATACCTCTGTATCTTTCTCTAGACTCTGAGCAAGAAGAGCTCTAAAGTGAAGACCCCTTCCAGCCGTAAACCAGCAGGCAAGCAGACGTCATTCGCAATGTATCCTTGTCAAATATAATGTTTCTGACTGGTGCTTTCTTTATTCTCTGATCAATTATCATTCCCCAAGGGGAGTACATCATAATTTGCTGAAGTAATACCTACCCTACGTACATTTTTTTTATTTTTTCCAGTACCGTACCCATAAGCTGACATCTAGTTATAGCATAGAAATAATTTGATAATGTGTAACAATTTAATAGTAGCCACAGAAGTAAGAGTTTTGTTTGTGGACGGACTACTTTTTCTCCTATCGGTGTTCCTCCTACCGGTGCTGTCAGGATTACTGAAAATGTTGCTGTCATGATTACAGAGAGCAAAACCATTTTGATTAGATGCAGAATTCAATAAAATTAAAAAAAAATGTTTATTTCACATCTCTTTAAAAACACATCAGAAGATATACAAACAAATCAGTTTAAATTAGACAATATAAACATAAAAACATTCATTGACATGGTACTATGGAAGAAGGATGAAGGGTGGTAGATGCGAGGGATCAACAAAGACCATTGGCCTGTCGAGGCTGATCCCATATATAACCACCCTTCAAGAAAAATACATACAAAATTATTAAAAAAAACAATTGAACAAACATATAATATAACATAGCATAATCATAATCAGAGTTGTGTTGTAGAGTGTGAGAACTTCTTATAAGAAGCATTCTTCTTTCTATTGCAACTATCTGGAGAGACCTCATCCAGGTCACTAAGAATGCTGAATGCATTCTTTACTACAATGGGTCTACCGGGACCTCCTGTGGTAGACATGGAAGGGGAAGGAGGATCAGGGATGAATCCATGTGTGGCAATACCATTTTGTAGATAGACAGAGTGTACATGTACATGTAGGTAGTCGTTTTCAGATAGAAGATTTAGACTTTACTGTTCTGTCGCCTTCTCTTTTTCCCTGATGATATCTTGGTCTTTCTTTTGTCAAAATTTCAGGGTTTCATACTCTCTTTTCAGTTGTTCAAGTTCACATATGATCCTTTCATGCTCACAAAGCAATGTGTTACATGTTCGTTTCTTTTCCCCATAATATCCTCTTGTTGTCTTCAATGACTTTTCAAGCTTAGGTCATGGAGAGCATGGCAGCTGAGTATCCTGATCAACCGAGGGAAAGGGCAATGTTGGGCAGGTTATATTTACCAAGTTTGTCTCAGGGATACTGACAAGCAAAGTTTGGGATGCTGCCTCAAGGGTGATACAACTTCCTGATGGGAGGAGATCCATTTCGGGGGCCGTTGCGGTGTCAGTTGGTTCTACAGAATCAGTGGCAGAGTCATTTGATTCTTCATAGTTACAAGGCTTTGGGAAGGTTGGCAGCAGAGATTGCAAAAGTAGGCATAATATCACTCTTTCCTCAGGTGAGCAGGTGTAGGGAGGACACCTGGGATCTGAAGATGCAGCGCTAGCTGCATGGGTCAAGATCATGAAAGAGATTTGATTTGATTTGATTTGATTTGATATATTGGTTTCTGCATCTTTTTTTTTCTTTCATGAACATATTGGCCCGAATTCACAAAGCAAGGTTTGAGCTCAGACCAAGGTTTGAGCTCAAACCTCCTTTTGTTTCGTCAAACCTCCTTTTGTTTCGTCAAACCTCCTTTTGTTCTTACAAACCAGGTTTGTAAAAAACGCGTAAAACGCGTCATATGACGTACGAAAACCAAGGTTTGTCGACAAACCTCCTTTGTGAATTCGGGCCAATATGGTTTGATACAATAATTTAAGTGTATATAATTTTATACAGATCATAAACGAAATTAAACAAATATATTGAATGCATAATTAACAGTCAATGTACACACGAACATGAATACAGTAGTATTACACACGATAGGATCGATACTTCGACAATAACATAGTTTTAACTGCCTTCTTAAAAGAATAAAATATCCTAAGGTTTCTTATTACAATGGGCAGAAAGTTCCCAAAGTTCAGAAAGATGTCTGGGCCTGCGTGTCTAATGGATTTGAGAGCTAATGCGGTTTTTGGATTTCTTAAATGGAATTTTTCAGCCGATAACTGGAAGAAGTTAGGGTGGTCTTGTTTCTATTTGTTCAAGATCCATGGTATTATAATATTTACGAGCTGGGATAGGTGTTTCTCAGCAATTAAGACTTCACCAGTGGTACACTGTAATTGTATTTCGAGTTGTTTGATGTTACAAATGACTCTGGAATTACCAATAAATGTATAGCAATTTGGCATGCAGGCAGAAGAGGAAAGTGATGAGCTTTGGAGTAATTTAGATGCTAATTAAAGTTTGTACAGTACACTACTGCAGGAGGATAACGTTACACTTAACAGGGAAACAGACCTCTACAGACACTTACAAGTTATACAGGAGGTGACGAATACATACAGCATGCAGGAGACGACTATATACATGCATTACGTTTCACTTGACAGGGAAACAGACGTCAACAGTCAGTGACAGTAACAAGTAACACACAGACAGTTACAGGATATACAGGATGAATACATACAGCATGCAAGGTTGATAAAGCAAGATAAGGGTGAGAGGAAGACATACAAATTGTACAAAGCATGCGATTACCTGTAGCTTATACAACAAGGGTGTTCATACAATGTTCAAGCACATGCAATGTTGCAAAATTAAAGCAAGTTTATAAAAGGGAGACATGCAAGCACATAAATGAATATGATATAATATTCATGCAACAGTGAGGATGATATCAAATACAGAGGATAGGCATGCATGTTGTTCAGGCAACAGTTCACGCAACATAAGATCCAAAGAGGACAGCAACATGGGTTTATAGATATTCAGGTTTTACCTCGGAGTTCTTGCAAGTTGTTTCCTGTTTATTGTAGAGCCTTTGGATCAGACTTATCTAGCCTTGATGTTGTACATTTGTATTGCAAAATCTCTCCCAACTCTTTTGCAGTCTAGCAGAAGCTCATGAAAGTAGTAGCAGGTTGTATTGGTATACAATATTGTGCTTGGGTAGCTTGCAGGAAGTGAATCTTGTTGTCCAGTCTCTGCCTTTCCCGCCAAAAGTGAATTGGTGGTAGAGGAACTACACCACTTTGAGTATGTGGGACAAGGATGTCCTATGTGGGCTAGAATCTTGGCTGGCGCTTAAAATTTGTAAACTTGTTTACGTTTTTCACACACAGAAGTATGGGTTCTCATTAAAGAATTACAGGGTAGGTTGGAATATTTCAACCAAATTTCAACAATTTGAAAAGGTCAGAATGAGATCGAGAATTAATTGAAGGTACGTCCTACTCTGCGTCCTATCAAACAGGTAGTATTCAATTCTATATACAGTGTATGTTAATATTCATCCTTAACCAGAAAATGAACCAACTCTAGGCTTGATGATGATGATGAATCAGAGGATTTGCTTGATGCGTATACTCCCGGCCCTAAGGCCAGACAGAAGAAGAGAGTCATGACGACACCAGACAACGTCAGCAGCAAGAGGACGCCCCTGAGAGAACACAATATCAAGAAAGAAGAGGACATTACTTCATCTGCGGGCTCGCCTTCATTGTAAGTTTGTCTTTCTTTAATCAAGATTGTAACAGTATGCCTATGGATTTAAATAAGTACTGTGAGCTTATTGGATAGATATTCGTTCATGTGTATTGGTTTATACTGTGATTATGATTATGGCCATCAAGTTTCACATTTTCACGATTTTTATTTTAGTTGCTTGTTTGCATGTGGATGGATGATATGGCATGCATTGACCGTTTTTTTATGGATTAGGATGTTTGTTTGTTTAAAAAAAAAGGTTTTGCAATGATAATTTATCTTTAAATTCAAATTAGGTGCACTGTAATCTGCAGTTCAGTAGAAATTTATACCTTTTTCTTGTTTTTTTTTTTGTGGCAGAATTTTTTGGTGCAATTGCAGTGTGCAAAAATGAGTGATCATCAATGTTGGGATTGACATATTAAATGTTGAATAGTGATGTCCTGTGGATCGTTAATTCATTATGGAGTTTTCACTGTTTAGCATAAAAATAGTACTAGATAGTTAAAAAAAAAAATCTTTGATGATGTAGTATGTAACAAGCAAAACTTTGAATTTGATGAAATTTGCAGGACTGCTACTCCTTCTCAGAAGTACAGCAGTCGCAGCAAGTCAGGAGAGGTGGTGGCCAGCTTTGGACCGGTCACTACGGTCATCTGGGAGGGGTCAAACCTGACCAACTGCTGCGTGTCTCGAGGTCAAGTCGACCCGTGCATGAAGAACTCTGACAAGTACAAGTACATGATGCAAAAGATGAAGAAGAAAGCAGAAGGTAGGACCCCAGAGTTTGGCTTATATTTATTCCCTATCTACCCATTGCACTAAACTGTCAGTGAATAAGTATGATTGTGCATTGTAAAAAAAAGAAGAAGAAGAGTTTGGGTTGTTTTAAAAACTGATACATTTTCTGTTGAGGAGTATCAGACCCCTCACCCCCCAAAAAAGGAGAAAATTCCAAAGTGCCCGTAGAGCAACCTTCCCCCAAATGCTTTGGATGTATTAAAAAGAAAACATGTGATAGTTTGTGCAATTTTGTGTCAAACGATGTTCATTATTGACTTTTTAAAAATCTTCAAAAATTTAATTTGCAACTGTTTGCAGAAAAATAAATTTGCAAAGAAGACAAGAAAACTGTGTGCAACAATGAAAACTGTTTGTGAACTTTCTTGCAGCCTTTTACAAACTTTTTGCAACCTTGTACGAACTCTGGCGAATCCAAAATTTGCCACGTTCGTAAGCATTCGCCGCTCAGTGAGATACCCCTTTTGTAGCGTCTACACAAAGTAGGCCTCCTATCCTATTCCCTCCCCTCCCCTCCCTGCTAATACATAGTCTTTTCTCATCATAAGGGTCGCATGTGTTTCTGTTTTTTCCTCCAGTGCTGAATGAAATGATTGAGGACATGTCAAAAACCCTTCAAGAGAAGCACAACATTGAGAGTGTATCCCATCTGGCATTACCTATACAGGTAAGAGAGATCATCTTGTCTGTTGTTCACAATGCTCTAACTTGTAGCAGAGTTGAGTTGCAGACTAACAGATGTTACCTCCTTGTATCTCACTTCCTTTTTATCCTTGTCAAATTCTGCATGTACCTGTAACAGGAGCATGATAATATACTGGAGTTTTTTTTTCTTCATTCGTATTTTGACAGGTTTTTATGAAATATTAGTTTTACTGAGGAACACACTTTTCATATTAGCCTTTAGCTTTTCAAAATATCAGGGATCATAGAACAGATTCATGTTTGATTGGACACTTTTAAAGTGTCTGACGTTAATAAACAATGACGTTCCTTAATTACAGATATATGTCTCCCGTAGGCGATTCCAACCATGCTAAAAGGGTCTCTTGCAATTATTCCTCTCTGTTTACCAACTCGGATAAAGCTCAGTTTAACACACTACCAGACCAGATTGTAAGAAACTTGTTCAATCAAACTGGTATTATAACCAAGATATTAAAGACACAAAAATTATTACCATCTTCACGTAACCCCAGGAACCAGAAACGGTAGTCGGTAGGATCTGCTGTGACAGCAACGGTCGTCTCAACGCTCAGTCTGTCATGATGGAAGGATCAGTAGAGACGTCTGCCGGTAAACAAGTCGCCGTCAGTCTAGCAGAGGTCAAGGAGTACTCTCTGTTTCCTGGTCAGGTCGTTGCTATGGACGGGGTCAACAGTGCTGGTGTCAAGTTTGTGGCTTCCAAGATATATCCGGTAAGTCTTGGTGTTGTACTTGCAAAGGGGCTGTAATTTGCTTTTTGCTCTACACTTGCTAATTGTATGTCAATGTTTATGTAATTCAGTGATTATGTGCAGTGTTCACATAACTTTTATCCATCTTTTCCTCCAAAAAATGAAGAAAAAAAATCTTTAAATGACTATTAGCAAATAGTAGTGATAGATGCAGGTTGCATGTATAATTTGCTGCTATGTTCATTTATAATGACATAGCAAGCTGCTGGGTCATCACTAGCAACTATTGAAGGAGAGGCATGCATATAATTTAATAATTCATTAAAGTCCATTACCATTGACATTCAGGGAATAAGCATCTATTCATTGAAATAACTCTGCACGCTGCTCCATTGTGATGACTGTACCCAATAGTTGTTCTGCCTGGTGTAAAGTTGTATGAGAGTAACGTGTATAATAGTGAGTCCTTTTCATGCATTGAACTTTTACAGGGTGTGGCAGGAGAGTTCAAGCCTACAGACTGCTCAGAGGCTACAGGTAACCTTCACCTCCTGGTTGCAGCGGGTCCGTTCAGCACCTCGGATAACCTCAGCTTGGAACCTCTGGAGGATCTTATCAAGGTTATCAAGAAGACCAGGCCTGATGCTTGTATTTTGGTGAGTAATTTTTTTACTCTTAGAATTTGTATTGAGGGCATATTCGTGAAATAGGAAACCACCATCAGCACATGCATGTTTCTTCTTCCCCACTCCATAGATTATACACATGTATATGTGCATAAAGATGAAAGAATGAATTTCAAAAATCAAGATGTAGCCATAATTGATAATTCCCTCTAAAATTTTTGTATTTTGTTACATTGACAATGTCTATATTCATCATGACTGTTATGTTGTTGATAGCCCCACTATTGCTTGGATGTGACCAAATTTGAATGGAATTAATGCTTTCACTTTTTAATTGTGTTCATTATTCTGTGATATGTGAAAACATATCGGATACAAAATGACTGAGTACCGGTACTTTTTAAATTTGAATGTAATTTGAAATAAAAGATTATGCCGGTGAGAAATGAATTAAAATCGAATTAGCTATTTAACTTGCCTGTATGCAAAGAACAGTATGTCATTAGGAGGTTTAGTGAAATTTTCTTTTTATAAGGGGGGGGGGGGGGGGGGGAGGGGAGGAAGGAAAATAAAGAATAAATGAACTGCACCGGTAAGACAAGCATTCCACAGTTTGAGATCTGGCTCTGTAAATTTTAATTCAGAGCCCTAAAACATATATGAGAGAATGAAAAAAAGAGGGCAGAAATTTCTTCACTCATTTGTCCATTTTTATTGCATGACCATATTGATTTTAAAAAGAAAAATAAGCTATAAACTCCTCAGACATTGAGAGGTTCCAAATCATTGTGTGATCAAAGGTCGCTATTTTAAAAAAAACCATTGACAAAGTTTCTATGCATGTATATGTTATATTGTTTACCGAGACTTTACATTTTATTAGAACAGTGCAGCAGTAAAAGAAAACTTGAAGAACATGTGATCAATTTAAACCCTTAAACCCTTCTTTGAACTATAAAATTGGTATCCTCTTCAAAACCAGACGATTACCCAATTTATCTGGATATCAATCAAACAATGAAAGCAGGAGTGTAAACTTGTGAAGAGCATCAGCTGACGAATGTAAACAGCACTTCACGTTTACGATGTTTCCTTATATCCATGAGAACACACTTCAAAAATATGATTGAACATTGTACCTACCAAGTAAAGAGTAAATATACATGTATTTGAACAATGGGCTGTGTAAAGACTGGACAAGTATGATGTAGTTTTGGCTTGTTTTATTAGTCAAGATGACATAATTCTTATTTTGATCTTGTTTACAGCTGGGACCCTTTGTCGATGTTGAACACGGTCAAATCAAGGTAGGAAGATTCATCAGAATTTTGCACAAGAATGTAAAATATTGATACCTCTAGTGTTTTTAGCAGGTATCTGAATGTAACAGTTGGCTGACATTTTTTTTTTTTTTTTTGGGGGGGGGGGGGGCGGGAAAGGAAGAATTGCAACAAAAAAAAAAAAAGCCTTGAGTACTATTAGCCTTGTATACTATCCTTTGCATTGTCCCTGTGAAAGTTAACATAAAAACAACTTTAATTATGATATACGATATTAAACATTTCACAATTTTTTTTAATTGAACACAAGCAAACCTCCATCCCTGCAATTTATCGTCATCAGCGAATATCAATCTCTGGGATCTTATAGCACTGACCCCCCCCTCCCCCCCCCCCCCCCCGAAAAAAAAAATATAGGTGATTTTTTTGTTGTTTAGACATCAGGGTTGATTACTATCATTTTCAAATGCAATCCTGATAGTTTGCTAACAATAATATTAATTTGGATTTAATGCGATGCATTTATTGTGCATAAAAGTAATTGGATTGGCTATGAGACATTGCAATGGCAGGGTCATTATAATACTGATCATAATCTTAGAAGGACTTGAGCGTTGGCCTTATCTCACAAAGCTCCAGGGAAGGTGATTAATATTAACATTTGTCTTTACCTTGATTTAGGATGGATCTCTTGGTGAGAGTTATGACAAGGTCTTCAGTGACATCGTACAGGCCATCGTCAGGAAAACAGAAAGGTCAGTTTTAAAGACACTGAAAATTTAAGAACACATCTTTGCCTGTTGAAATATGGTCCTCTGTGTATACAAGGATAGGCATCCAGTTAACCAGCCTATCGCGGCCCAGCGCCCAGCGCGGCCGGGTTTGAAATTCCCGCCACTCCAGCAATGCAGCTAACGACACCATCGCGATGACGCGTGTATTAGCTATACGACCAGAGAGCCAGAAAACATGCGTGCATCCCGCTCGCTGTACAAGCAGTACTGCGGTTATGGTATTATTTTAAGAAAATCTTTCCATTTGAATCAAACACTACTGGCATATATTTACATGTTGGATTTCATTTTAACACACAACATATTTCAGAGATCTAAACAGGATCGCATTGTGCACTCTTTTGAAAATGTATATAATAGTATTCATTCAATAATCATCATTGCAGCTCGAGAGCTGAATTACAAATGATCTTACAATAGAAGTGCATGAACTTAATTAATAACAAGCGATGTAAAACATAAACAAAATATTTCTCATAATACGACGTCTGCCACCACGGTCACGGCGTAGTACCATGTAATCATCAGGAAATGAGGAAGGCCCAGTACACAATCATCAATATCAGCCCCCAGCCAGGTCAAGGTTATACAGAGAATATCTGGTTTTTAGTTCGATGTTCGACTGCACAAATGCTATTAACTCAGCTAGTTTACTACTCAAACTTCTCGCATTCAGTAGTGTACATGACAGATGTTTCTTACCAGCTCTCTTTATGTTCTCATGAGGACCGGTACTAGTGGTAGCAGTTTTATTAGGTCCAGGATATTCATTCAATGTCACCAGCAGTATGTAACAGAGCACGAAATGTTGAACAGTACAAAATAGGCTTACCAGCTGGTCTAAGATCTCACATGGATTGTGGTTGGCTAAGTGGGGATACACTATGATAGTGTGGATTTTAAATACACAATACAACGAGATACAACATAAATTCACAAATATTGAACGTTGACAAATTGAAAATAGATCAGATGATAGTTTAATATAAGAGGGTTGAATTAAATTAATGCTGTTATTATACTAGACCAGTGTTCGATTAAAGGGTAACGCATTTCAAACGTTGCAGGTTGTGATAGTGTCCCCTGCGCTAGACGAACATTGCAACGTGCAGACGAGATCGGGGTCGAATGGCTCGTGATAAGTTGACCATCGGAGAGTAGAAATCATTCTCTCTTACTTAGTAGACTATGGGTCAATGGAGTGTGGTTGAAAACCAGCATAAGAAGACAGTGAAACAGGAACTGGCAGGGTACCGCTACAAATGAGCACTGGTCCATCGGAGACAGCGAGAGAAAGGAGAAGCTTAAGCGGTAACATGCTCGTTTTCTAGAACAAATCGATAGATGAATGAACGTGGATAAATCCAAAGAGCCTTTAGATACCACCAAGAGTAATACCAATTACAGTAGACTGTACGACTACGAAGGATTACACAGAGACAGGGCAGGTCACTAAATCTAACACAAAATCATAGATGTGGGGCTGTAGTACAAATTGATGATTCAACATAATGAAAATCTGCTCAGTAGCTTTCCTCAAATGTGTCTAAGCAAGGAAGAAAACTATCCACTCCAAATGAAATATGTCCAGTTGCTCTTCCACTGCCTGTGATAAGTCCTGTACAGAAGGCAAGAATTCTTGTTTTGAAGCTGAAAATTATGTACTGAGAACCGGATGGAGCTTCAGCACCCAAACTGTGGTCCTGATCTTGACTAATATCTTGATTCAACATTGTAAAAGTAATCAAATTTATTCTCACATTACCGCCTATTAATGTGCACGCGGAAAAGGAGAGAAGAAGCACAACAATTAGACCTTAATTAGCCACATCCTCACATGAATCAAAGGAAGCCGCAAGCCCCCATCAAATGTCGTCTTTCATGCACATTAACAAATCGCACATGAAGGTGGGCTTAGTGGTTTTAAAGTATGATGTGAAGGTGGGCGTTCTGGTTCGGAAGCTGGTAGATGAATTTAAAGTAAATCTCTATTTAGAGAACTCACCGATAGATCCAATGTCCGATGTCCGATCCTTGGATGTGTTGCTGTGATGCTCCGATGTCTCTAGCTATAGATGTTTACTTCTGGTACTGCATGGTTCTGTGTTCTGGTTTCTGGCGAAGGCGGCGGGTTGAGCCTGCTTATATACGGCGCACGCATGTACGTAAAGGGGAGCGTGGAATGCCATTTGACGTGTGCGGTCCGTATTGCTAATTCCCCATAAATTGTTGGGTGTTGTGTCCTTGTACTTCATTTGCTCTTATTTTACATTTGCTGGTCCTTATTCGGAGTCTGAATTAGACATGTTGAGAAAATCTGGACCAGCGTGGACTTCAAAGTGTTGCTTGTAGTAATGCAAAATAAACCTTCTTTTAGCATCTCTGCTGCATTGGGGCCCCCTGATTGTTAAGGCTTGGCACCTTCTCGGCCGGCCGAGGACCATCCTCCGTCCGTATCAAGTGAAACGAAACTGATTAAGTGTTATCTAACAATAGCAGAAAACAGAATGAACTACTAATTAGTTAACACTTTACAAGTACATTAAATATTATTTGTATGACTTTTATGTGACACCTAATACATTGAAAACAAACTGTAACTGTAACCTGGAGTATACTCAAGGATACTTTAACAAATCTTACATGATAGAAAACTCTTGATTCTCATCCTACAGTCAATTGAGCATGGAGACAAGAAAAGGGATTGGGCTCTTTATGTATCGATCAATTCTACACTTTAATGTTGGGTACAGATTGCCCCTTTTTTAATAGCGTGCGCATACCGAGGCTTTGCCTTTGAGGGGGTAGCCATTTTCAAAATCTATCGTCTTTTACGAGGGTTTGGGCAAACTCGGTGCATAATCGCTTTCTTCTGTCTTGCAAGTTTTCGAAGTTGGTTATTTGTTGGGCCAAGTGCTAGTCGCAGTGCATGTTTTTGTATACGCTCAAGTTGGTTTGCTTGGGCAATGGTAAGGCTGGAGTGCCAGAGAGGTACTGCATATTCGAGCAGTGGTCAAATGAATCCTGTAAAGATAGTGATAAGAACTTGTTAGGGAAGTTTGGATGGGGTCATAGATCGTAACATGTGCATTCTCCTATTGGCTTTTAAGAGAATATCAGCCGTATGCCCATCCCGCTTCAAATTTGATTGAACAGTTACTGGCACCAAGTATCTTGATACAATCGACCTGTTCTAGAGTTTGATTGGCCAATTTACATCAAGGGGTGTTCCCATGCATAGACTTGTTTACTAATTTAATGTATTCTGGAAGTTTGAAAAAACTTTCTCTAGTTTACCAAAACTATGCTACCATCAAGAATAGACGGGAGGAAGCCGGCTCCTGAGGATTCAGGCTAGTCTCAAGTCTTCAAGTTGCACATGTCACTAGCGGGAGCAAGGCCAGTGATCGGGATCCGAGTGTCAGTGGCCGCAATGGCGACACTCTTCCATCGAGTCCGAGTGTCAATGGCTGCAATGGTGACACACTTCCCCAGGGCATGAGCGTCAGAGGCCGGCAAGCCAATGACGCCCGTTTGCCAACTTGCCAAACATAGCAACAACTAATGCAAATTGGATTCTATCCATCTATATGGTTTTGTGCTTAGCAGGTGAATTGAATAGTTGGCATTCAGCGGTTCTGGAGAGAATATGCATGAAATGAAAAACCCTAAACAGGTCTGTGTGATTGATAGTATTATAATAATAGTCATAAAAACAGTGCTTTTAAAGCGCTTACAACCGAAGTCTCTAAGCCCTATAACAAACAAAAGACAAGATAAACAATTACATATTACACAAAACAAAAAATTACAATACATATGAAATATACATCAATGTGAACTGAGTAAATTAATCTTTAAAGGTAATTTGGAACAAATGTGTCATAAGATAAGTTTTGAATTGGTTGACAGTTTTTTACATGTAAAGATAGTTTGTTCCAAAGTTCAGCGGAAGCTTTGGAAAAAGAGCGCTGACAAATGTCATGAATATCCTTTGATCATCTGTGATATTGATATTCCAATTTTCCTCCAGCGTTGGATGTGAGCTGATCTTCCAACCTTCTTTGAGAGATGCCCATCATCACTTCATCTATCCTCAACCTCCCTACAGTGAGATCAAGAACCAGCCAAAGGTAAAGACAAAGATTTGAGCCTGTTTTGAAAAAAAATGTCAACAGGAATTACTCAGAAAAGAACACTTATCATTGGTGCATGCTTGTGCAGATGTCTCTTTTAACTTCACATGTGCGCAGCCAACCTTGTGCAGACATTAATGACTTGTCCTTATTATTTTTATTCATTAGGCAATTAACTTATTTTTGCTAACGTAAAAGATAATTTTTTTTTCTCAATTCCACTTCTGTGTTCTTTTAAAGACCAAGTCAACTGGATTTAACTTAGGCCAGTGACTTCGGAGTTTCAAATGTCAACCTCTCTATTCCTTTCAAATTACAACAATTCTATAAGTAAACAAATTTGTCATGAAGTGAAAGTGAAAACTAAATGAAATCACTTTCAGAAGATTTCCATGGTGGTGTGAGTAACATTTATTGGGTTTACAGTTACATCATGTGAGAATGAGGGTAGTCTTGAAAAGGACTGTTGGGTTTGAAAGTGAATTTTATTGATTTATCATCTGCTCTACTAGTTTTTCAAGGACTTCACCCACACATGAAAGAATACCACTCATTGCTAATTACTTCTCTTTCATTAATTGTCCTTCATTAGACGAAACATGAAGGAATACTGTTAACTCTGCATAAGTGGAATCTGTTGGGATCGCAATAAAATGGTTCAACAGAGGAAGTATTTTGCAACTCTGTACTAAAGGAGTTTGTTTATAGTTTGCAATCGCAACTGTTAAAGCAGGGCCTAGAAATGAGTATGAAATCAAAACAATGCCCCCCCCCCCCATTTTGCCCAAATTGCAATTTTGTTTCTTTATTTTACATTCTATCTAGAGAGTGCACTTTGTGGCTGAGCCAGAGATGATTAATATCAATGGGATCAACATAGCTACCACCTCAACAGACATCTTGTTTCATCTCAGTCGAGAAGAGATATCATGGTAAGTATATAATGTATGCCAAATTTTGTGGTGAAAATATTGTAAATATAAAATTGTAAAACTGGTAACTGTGATTCAGAGTAAAAACCATGAAGTTAAATTTTCCATTATGTACACGAGATGAAATTGTGTCTTTACAAATCAAAATGAGAAATTGTCTAAAGAAAAGCAAGAGTTTTATCGATGTTTAGACCAGAAGCTGTCAACTCTCTTGTTATTGTCAATAATTGTAATGTTTGGAATGACTAGCATAATTTTCTGGTGTTGTCTTGTTTGAAATTTATGGCTTGGTATTATCTTCTTTATTTAGCTTGTATTAACGAGGAATAAACCTTTCTGTTTCAGTCCCCCAGGTTCCTCGGACCGCCTGGGTCGTCTTGTTCGTCACATCCTCACCCAGCACAACTTCTACCCACTTTATCCGGCCTCGGAAGAGGTTCCGGTAGATTACGAAAAGTTCCACCAATACGGCAAGATGGGGTGTGCTCCTCACATCTTCGTCTGCCCATCTCGGTTACGCTTCTTTGTGAAGGTAAGGAAGCGAGGGGGGCTTCCCAATCAAACAAACGTGTACCTGACTTTGGTAGCTTTGAATTAAAAACCAATAACCTTGAATTTCATATTAAAGCGTAACACAGGGTTTTCATAAATTCTATTTCATGCTTCCAATGTATCTTAGCTTTAACACTGCAAATTTTCACATGCTAATAATGTACAGGGAATGCAAATGTGGACATAAAGACCTAAGCAATTATTTCAGAATGAAAACTAATATTTGATGGCTTTTCACTCATACTCATGGCTTCAGACCAAACTCAGCATAAAAGAATTTTGACAGCACAGTTATGAGTAAGGCAAGTCCCCAATTGCCCAATTAAAGTGATCCCCGTTGGTAATAATGGCATTATGATCTTTAATATATTTGCAACGCACCCAATAATAATATGTTGTGAATATACCCAACTATAGCCTCCTAACTTTTTGTTTCTTCTCCCCAAGGAAATCGAAAGTGCTGTCTGCATCAATCCCGGTCTGCTGACCAGTGGTCAAGTTGGAGGGACATATGCTAGACTAGTCGTCAAAAATACTGGCCCAGGGAATGATGAGAAGACCGACAACAAAGCCGTGAACAGGACTGCAGTGGAGATTGTCAGAATATGAGATGGAAAGAGACTTTTCATGCGAAAATCAAACAGTAGCAATTTGCTCTTGATGAAAGCTGGAAATGAATTCATACAATCCCTAATTTTCAGATTTTAAAAAGATTTTTGGTGCCAGGTCAAGGCATGCGACAATTAGGTAATCGATACGAGCTTATATCTCAACGATGGACAACCCAAAAATATTGGCTTAGGCACCAAAAATAGCATTGAGAATTTGTTTTTATCATAACTTAATTATAATCAATAAATGACACATATTCGTAAAGCATAGATCCTCCACTTTTATTTCATTTGATGCAACTTGTATGATGCATATTTCACTCATGAGAAAATCACATTTTCTGTCCTTTAATGTGGCATCTCAATCAGGAAAAATGGGCCAGGAATAGCAAAGTTTTGTTTGTTCAAAGTAATGCTTGCATTTCCATAATTTTATTTAATGAATCTGTCTGTTGCTATGGCAGGTAGCCAGTGAAAAGGAATTTGTTTAATGAAATTATGGAAATACAAGCATTATTTTAAACAAACAGAATTTTGTTATTCCTGGCTCACTTTTCCTGATTGAGGTGTCATATGAAATGGTAGAAAATGAATTTTCTAGAAATATGATTTTCTCTTGAATTTTTTTTGGGACGCACTGTAGAGCTCTGATCATATTCATTTACATTATCAATGAATATGTTTAGAGCCTCATCAAATGAATTTGTAATAAAAATTGTTCCTTTGTATATACAGTAAATAACATAGTCAATGTGTGTATATAAATAAAATAATACTAAAAATAACAAATCTTTGTATTTTTATTTGTATCATCCTTTTATTCATAACTTCAAACAAAACTTCAATCCTGAAATAGCTAGGGGGACAGGTTAATGACTGGCAGAAATATTGCATTGATTTCCTTTCTCTTTTTAAAACTCACTTTGTCAAGTGGCGAGCATGATCGAGAGGCCGATTCTGTTCGCCGGTATTGGTCCTGTATAAGGGGGTGGATGTGACAACATCAGTTTTTATTATCCCATTCCCCTGGTAATATGTTATAATGGCGACATTTTCGTCTCGAAAACATCCATAATTTGACAATGTGAAGGAGTTGAGGGTTATGATTGTACGACATTTGCTGGGATAGCCTCAGGGGCCCACACCCTCAATATCTGCTGCTGCCTTCCAGTCCGGGCAACAAAATAAAAACTCTAGAATTTAATAACCAGTATTCCATATTCAGTATACCCAAGACTTGCTTCTTCAACACAAACGTACATTTCAAACACTTTCAGCGATACTGAGCAGATATCCGTAATGAAATAGCCATCCATCGTGGGCAAATCCACAGAAGATGAAGATGATGCCCCCGCCATAGAGCGATTTTACAAACGGAAGCAGTTATTAAAACTTAAGTTTGATTGTAATCCATTATCAGAATATCGTGATTATAATATACATAAAATACAAGCTGTTTTTCATATACATGTATGACACTTTGATCTTTGACCTCGTGATCTAACCAGTTCATCAAGATTAATGTATGAGGCTCAGTGAAAAAGATACACAGGGGCGAACAAAATTGATACATTTTCAAAAATAATATTTGTGGTGTTAAAAAGAACTGGAAGGAAAGTTCAACTGATGGTAATCTGTCCATCGGTCTAATTACCACATGACCTTTGACCTTGTGTTCCTAAAATCTAATCAGTTTATTGGCTCTGCAAGAAACATACATGACCCAAGTTTGGCGGGAATCCATCAATTCAATTCTGGAGATATCGCGATCATGAGAACGGGACGGACAACCTGAAAACATAAACTTTGTTGGCATAAAAATTACTTTTTGGCTCTTGCTTGCCTGTTAATTGAGCTGGCAGGTCATCACTTCTAAAAGCCTGCTCACATGGGTAACGAGGGTAAAATGCAGACCCAGTGGAAATTACAAGTCCAAAGGAAAATGTCAAGACTCGGAAGAGTCCAGAAATGGCCATCTAAAAAGGAACATCCCTTATCCATAATTGACAGCCAACATTTCCTGCTATGATTATCACAGATAAACATCTATTAAAACTTTAAAAAATTGGAAATTTATATCATCAATATAAAGAAAACAATTAGTGGATAATAAAGCAATGACGTCGCAGACTCATGAGTGAGTTGCTAATTTGTCATGTGATTTTTCAAGTTTTTCATGTCATTTAGAATTCGTTATTTTTTTTATTTTATTGGTTTGTCTGATTTTTCTGCATCTATTGAAAGTACATTATTTTTGAAGTGGACTTGTCCTTTAAGGTTAAAGAGATATACTTAGAACACCAGTTGATACTCATGTTATCCTATATTACGCAGTGGTTAATGATGTATAATAATTGACTTATTCATTAACTATTTTTAAATTCCAATTTGTTTTTGGGCTTGCCAGCGTTCCGTGGTATCTTTTGAAAGTAAGGTCGTAACGATACTAAATCCCACAAACAAAAATAGTAAAACTGCATCATTGTAGGTGACAAAGTGTAGTTTTAACAAATATGAAATTTTACTCTAGTAATGATGTTTCCCCAACTGGTCAACAGAGACTGACTGTCATAAGAACAACCTTAGAATGTGATATATATGATATCGTTTACCTCTGAAACCAAATAACACTAAATTGGAATTGTTTGAAGCGTTAACAATACTACTGGATGTTCAGGCGACTATCTTGGTTCATTGTTATGAGCAATATCTGTGTATTCTTCGAGAATTTTTGTGTATGTTTCAAAAGACCCCCCAACATACAACATCGGAAGCAGGCATGGTGAGCTGATGGCGTTGTTTTTGGTATAGCTCATGTATTCTTGATGGCTAACAGGTCCTATAGGAGGTGTGCTGTAATCTAAGTTGATGCGGCGGATAAGGAGCGATGCTGACGACGACTAGCTCCTCAATCTATGGACTTTGCAGATGTATGATAATAAAACATGTTTCTCCTCGGATCTCGTTGCCTTCGGGCCTTCCTTTTTATCCAATTACGCGTACAATTTAGACTGAAATGCTTGGTTTTCAATCATTGGTATATATGGATAATGCACTTCTCTACCCTTCCTCTTCTCCTCTCACTCTCACCCTCCTCCCCCCCCCTCTCTCTCTCTCTTCCTTTCCCCTTTCTCATACTCTCTCTAACCATGACTGTAAAGACTTTCGAAATTCAACCCAAAAAATTATGTTCGGATTAGGTAATAATACGTCATTGTAAATTCCACACATTTCAAAATGTGATGGGCAGGGCTAGTGACATTGAATTTCTTACGAAAGTGTTGGTGCGATCTTATTTGCTTGCATTTCTTATATTTCCCCCTTTCTCTCTTTTTCAGGCTCTTTCCCTCTATTCCACTCTCTCTTTCTCTCTCTCTCCTTACCTTTCTCTTTTCTCTCTTTCGCTCTCTTTATATCTTTTCTCTATCTACGTATATATGTGTATATATGTATGAATATATATATATACAGTGCGTCCCGAGAACTATCATTGTTTTATCATAACTTCATCACAATCATAATTAATAAATGACACATATTTCTATAACTTAGATCCTCTTTGATTTGATGCAACTCACATGACGCATATTGAAGAAAGGGTACCAAAAATTCATTTGGCGGACGGTATCTGAATTTCAAAGAGAAAATCACATTAACAGAAAGTTCATTTTCTGCCCTTTCATATGACACCTCAATCAGGAATAATGAGCCAGGAATAATAGAAAAGTTCTGTTTGTTTAAATTATTGCGTGCATTTCCATAGTTTTATCAGGGACGTGATAGAGAAGGACTGGAATCAAGCCGCTTTCCTTTTCCTTTAACCCCATGCTCCAAGCCGCCGAAAAGTTATGCGCTAATCTGCAACTGTTGACCAGGTGGTGAGAAAAAAGAGAGCATGAAATTTCAGGATTTAGAATTCCAACATCAGGAAATGGTATCACAGCAACTGTTCGCTGTCCCTTTCAATGATTTCTCATACATTGTTGAATGTGTAAAGAGTAGAACAAGCGAACACAAATTTGTGAAATTTTATCCTTTTTTCGAACTGCAAAAATACAAAAAACACGCGAAAACACGCATTAGCAAACTTAAAGTTATCGAAGATTGTAAATCATGGATTACATAACGGGACACTAAATTATGCACAAATTAGCGCATTATCCTTTTGTCGGGATCAAATTTTTCTGTTACCAACTCTGGCACCATGGGCGTCAATCCTTTGTTCAGGGGGGGGGGGGGTGATCTATTCATTCATCCCCCCTGAACAATAGGCATTACGTAAGGATTGACGCCCATGTCTGGCACACAAATTATAGGAAGGGCAGAGTCCTAAATTTGAAAACTTGTTTGATGCACTATTCCCAATACAATCCCCATATAAAGTTTATAATTTACACTGAAATTTTGCCGGTAATTTAATAATTTGTAATAAATGTAAAACTGGTGCCTGGCCTCGAAAAAATCCCCGCAGTGGAAGCGCGGCTCGGATCATGGAACTTCAAAGCCAAGTGATATGTTACACATCCCATTGTTACGCTGTGTAGAACTCACGAATGCGTTTGAATGATTACAAGAGTTTCGACTCCTTTCTTTCACCTCCCTGGTTTTATTAAACGAATCCGTTCCAATGGCTGCCTGCCCTATCAACAAAGAAAACGGAAGACTTCATGCATGGCTGATTGTTAATGAAACGGAGTGGTGAGTAAAACTATGTTTGTTGCTACGGCAGGCAGCCAGTGAAAACGAAATCGTTTAATAACATTATGGAAAAGTTGCAGTGGCGTAGCCGAGGGGGCGGGCGATTCTCTTCCACAACGAAATAACAAAACAAAAAAGGCGGAAAGGACATATGGGTCTAGAGAGGTGAAGAAAAATCGGCAATTTTCATAATGTAACCAAATAAACTTAAGGGCCTGCCCTTGATACGAATTATTTCATTCACCTGCTACGAATAATTGTATTTCAATAGTCGGAATGCAAATTGCATATTTTACGTGCTGTTAGGGCAAGCCATAATGTTTGTCCTACCTAGCAACAACTTATATATATATATAATTTGAATTCTGACCATCACTATGAACATGACTGACAATGGAAGCGGACAAAATATACAGTTCCTCAGGTAGACAAAGGAACATCCCTTCACTGCTATTATGTAAAAATATGTAGAACAGGTGTCACATGCATATTCACCTTTATACATAATAGCAGT